CCTTCTGTGTCCTTGCTTTTTGAAAGAGACCTGTCATTTCCAATCTTGTTGCGTATCTCAACCTCAGCTCAACCAACGTGATAAGTCGAGGCTATTGCGCTATCCGACAGCTCTCTACACCCTCCTCACAAGCAACCACTACTACATAATAATAGGGACGATTGCCCATTCCAACCATCAATATACATATGTACAGATGTACGTATGTACATATGTACATATATGCCGCACATCCCCATGTTGTACATACGTGTATGCACACATACATAGATGATTACCAGTCCATTGTCCACGTCCATGCAGAGGTCCATCCATATTCCGTTTCCAATCAAATATTCAATTCGATTTCCATGATAGTCCGCTGCTCCTCGGTAATAGAGTCGGACGGAGAAACCTGTGTGTTTGGGAGAAAGCAGGAGGGAAGGGAAACACTTTTCGGGGTGGAGAGAATAATGGCTCAGTTAGATTAAAGCTTTGACTGAGTGAACACAAATTTCATTCCAAGAGCTCAATAAAATTGCCTGAAATTGATACCATTCTGGAAAAGTTTTACACAAAATCCATTTTATTCACGATTGGTCATGGTGGTGGCGAGTTGCAGAGAATCAACAAAGCATTATACAAAGCTCAGAACAGCAGAAAATGACAATTCCTTTTTTGTTAAATGTCCAGTTTATCATTTAGTGGCGCATTATTGGTGAGAACTTGGCGTTGAAATTCTAAAAGCCCCCAAGTATTCTTATCGCCTTTCGTACCATTACACAATTACAGATATGAATGACTTTCGCCCTTAAATTCTCTCGTGTATTATTTTGCATTGAAATTTCGATTTTTATTTCCACCAAACACGTCAGTGAATGAACAAATGAATTCCTGCGTGTGAAACGGGTCCCCTGTTTCTAAATTATGCAGGCTCCCTCCGTCTGCCTGAAATTCGGAATTGGTATTAGCACATACTTATAAGAACACCTTATTCTCAAGTTCATTTCCTTAAACGTTTTTCTCTGTAGACTTTTTTAGACTTTATTAAATTCATGTCATTAAACAACGTCAGATTTATCAAAAAATGTCATGTCGTGCGGAAAATTCATTATATTACTTAGTTCAGAATATTGTTGGCAAATATACTGAACAATGAGTCTACGTTATCAAGAAGCTAATGCTTATATAACCATATTGAAAACTTCTGAAAATCATATTGTTTCCTTTTGTGCTGAATAAACATGTGAAAATCTTCACCCCATTGACTTTTAAGTCTATGGATAAATTGATTTTGGTAGTGCCAGATACAAATAAAGCTTCTTTTTTATTTCATTGAAGTAATGCAGCAGTAAAATAAATCCCAATTTATTATTGCTTGCGCAAAGGATTAATAAAGCGTCCTTGTGGGTCACATTCTTCATTTGCCAAATTACTTTCTCTTTCTTTAGACTCTGAATTGGAGTCGGTACATGTGGACAGAAGTAATGGCATCTTGTGTTGGACTGATCGAGGAACAATATGCACCATGGCTTCAGCAATAATAATAATCAAATATTGATTCTTTCCCCGCTGTTAGCTTTGAGTTATTTCTGTATTGAGAAAACTGTGCAGATTTTTCTACTCTGTGATTTACTTGTACTAAATATTTTGCTAGCAATTTACTAAAGATAATTCAAACAGTGGCCTCACTACAAAAGTCAATTTGTCAACCAACCAAGTGAAATTGACAGTCATATTAGATTATTTAAAAGCCATGAACATTGATTGATTTGCTATTTTGATTTTCTCAACTGTCGGCAACAACTTGCTCGTGACAAGGGAATTTTTTTTACATAAGTTGAGGCATTCCAAAATTTTGTGAATATTAGGCAAAATGATTTGAAGAGTTGAAGATGAATTCTCAGGATTGTTGGGATATGACAGGGCAAGTGATTTATGGTTATTCTTATGAAATAGTCTTGTTGTCAGATACCTATGTATTTTTAATTTAGAAGACCTGAAATACGAAACTTTCCCCTTTACGTGATGGGTAACATACTTCCCTATTGATTTTTACCCTATGCCTATTTATTAAAAAATAGCTAGACCATCCTTTGTGTGTTCATTACTCTACACACACAGTCACATGTGTATTTAGCTCTATTCCAGATGTATAAGAAATTATTATATTTACGGAGAAACTACTGTTCAATTCATCAAATTTGTAGCGATTAATCATTTACGTTCAACATTTTATGTTACCAACTTTCAACATTTTTCCTGTCCTAATTGCAGTTTATTGTACAACTTTCAATTCTTCCACATTTACCACCAAAATTTACACTCACTAAATTCGCCCACATAAATTACATATCGGTGGGAATAGTCATCTCATCAGCAACAATAAACCAGTTGCATACACAGGAATGATTAACCCTACGAGCCATATTACTACAAATGTAGATTTTTCTGCACTTGTTATATCGTAAAGGTATCGTGTATCCAGGTAATGTAATTACCGAACAAAACAATCAACCAGAGCTATTCAAAAACCTATGTAACCTGCACATAAATAAGTAAATACATCTGGACAGTTATTAATTTGAGCTTCTAAACCTGCCGAATGTGAAAGGGTGTGGGGAACAACGGGAGTAAGACATTCCAATTTTGGAGGCGTTGGGAGAATAACTGTGGTGTCCCCACAACATTTAATTCTCCTGTGATTTAATGAGACAAACTGGTGGATGAAATTCCAAAGAAATAGAAATGGAGAAGGGACGCAAACCTTTCTGACACAAATCGTGATGAATAGCTAGCCCCGTACCATAAATTAGCACCCGATTAAGCAGCAAGGAGGGCAGAGTGACTTTGGTTGACTCGCCTGCTTGAGACATGGTGACTTTTTTTACCGGTCGTCGTACATAAATCCTTATGACATTCTCCTTTCACTGGGTTTTCTTATTGAAATCCAATCCTCTGCTGGAAACTGATGCACTTTCGCCACCAGAGCAAAGGACACAGATCAACTTGTCTTGTGAACGGAAATCTCATTTGGTTTCCAGATTTCTGGCGAATGTATAGCAAAGGATCATTTGCCGGGGAGGAAACGCCCAACACCATCCTTGAGAAAACTCAACCGAGTCGGACTTCCTTTACCCATATCCAGAAACCAATATATTTTCTTATTTGTACATTAAACCACACTTATTTATGCACGCAGCTTTGTCAACTCCGACTTTCCAGCAAAGGGTGGGCGGGTGCAAAGGCCGTTGGGCACTCACTTTTGGTTTAGGCGAATACATTATGACTCCTCCAAAACTTCTCCTGTTTCCTGTCCACATGAGACTTCATCATTTCTCACAACTTTCATTCTGCTGAGCTGGACATGGCTCCCAAAATATATAACTGCAGATGACAGTGTCACCGCGGTACAGAGATTTTCCTCGGGTTGCCTGATCCGTGGCTGCATAGATAAATGAACCATGTGTATTATTATAGCAATATTCTGCCCTGGATCTCATAAAAATGTATGAAGCTGCTCTCAAGTATATAGATCCTCCAAAATTCTTACTTATTGAGAAGGACGAGTGATGAGGGGCATTAGCACCCAGTTTAGTTCAGACTTGTTTTCTACGAGTTTTTCTGTGAAATAATAATTCAATATTTTGCTGCGTAGATTTTTGTAAACGCCCATAAATACATATTTATACTGTAGACGAAAAGGTTGCGTGTGCATGTACAGATCTATATACAAATCTATCTAGTTTGTTGGCTACAAATACGAATAATATTGTTTCTTCCTACAAAGCGATACAAATTTCATACGTTACTCTAGTTCTCAAAATTATGGCCACTATTTCTTAATTAAGGCACTTAATTTCAATTTTCGTCATAAATTACTGCACCCACAAATTTCAATTTCCCTCCAGGTTCACACTTTTGTACGTTTGTGCACTGTCAATCGTAGCCGCAAAGTAATTGTGGGAAAAGTACATAAATCAGTCAATTTATCCAGAAAGAAGTAATTTCTTGGCACATTCGCCCGTTGATGGTGTGCGAGGGTGGTAACTTATCTCTGGTGAGGGGTGATATAATGCAGTCCAATAATTTGTGTGAACAATTGAGTCCACAGTATCACATTTCATTACATTGAATTCTAATTATATAAATTGAACCACATCCATAAATAACTGCAAACTATGTAAAAGCCTTTCAGACTAATTCGATAAAAAGCTACTGTAGCCGCCGTTTTTTTCACGGAGGAGATAATTTACGAGTTAGTTTGTCTTTGTCCTTTCCCGTCTCATTTACATAAATTACATAGTTGGGAAAATATGGAAATCCCCAAGGCTTGCTTTTTCCGTGTTGCCGAGTAAAATGTTAGACTTTCCAATATCCACTGCAATCTGAGCAAATTTATTCCGACAACGTTATTGTTCACCGAGAGACAAGCAGGAAAAATACTTGGAACTGCATTATTACACCATTTGTAATGTGGTGGTAAATTGTTCTTCCGAAAAAATAAATCACAATTCCAAACCTTTGATCACTCCTCAGCTAGTTTTCGATATGCAGTAAGGAAGTGAGTGTTGTGTGCAGAAATTACTTAATATGTTCACTACGCTAGAATCCCGAAAGCGTCTTTTTAATAAAATAAATACGTACGATAACGATAACATGCGTGCAGTGCAGCCAAGTTGTCGTCGACACATGTACATACGAATGCTGCTGTGCGACACATTTCAATGCACTTTGTGTATATTTACCTACCATAAGAGTGCGCCATATCCATAACTAGCAGACTATTACGGGGCCGATGAGCAGAACTGGGCATGAAAGAAGGCAATCGCAGTAGTTTTATTGACACAACATTCACTTTCTGAAGTGAAAATGCATAAAAGTGAAAACAAGGAAAGCGACCTCCATTACGTGCAGAACTTGCCAACTCTCTCGTCTTCACTACCATTGACATGCTACATTATGCTACGGGCTGCTCACCAGAGATCTGGTCGACAGAGAGAGAGAGAGCAGAGATTTCAATGGGTGTGGTGGGCGAGGATCGTGAACTGGACATTGCAAAACGAGATCGCCTGGAAAATGGTCACTTTGAACAGGGAAAGAGCAACGAAGCCATTAAAGCTGTAAACTCTAAGTAAAACCTGGAAGCAACGGCCCAGTGAGTTTTAATGTGATAGTGCTGGCCATCTCCGAGGTTTATAGTCAATTCCGCAAATTTTATATTTAAACCCGTCAACCTCCGGTTTCTTTCTGAATGGTTACGCAGTTTATTTTTTACTCGCGTACAGAACAAGTGTTACATGGAGAGAGCGCCTATAAAAATCCCCATAAAATCACAAGGTTGCTCTGCCACGTTGCCTCTGCCATGCAACCAAACAGCCTTTATCTCCACCAATGCTGGACACCACTTATACATATACTTCCACTCGGCGAGCCCCATCCAGTTGTTGTTATCTCCGATTACAGTCCTATCTATCGTTCGTGCGTACGTAGAGCGAAGAGTTTTAATTTTCAGACTAGTCTTTTCGTGTTATTATTACTATTTTTACAGGTAACCAATAAGTCAAAAACATACCTCAACCGGAAGTTATACCATCATTAAAAAATACTATATAATAAAATTTAGCACATATTAAGGTTACATTGAGTCTTATTTGAGGCATGTCTTGCATAAATGGTCACAGTTAGCGTAGGATGGCAGACGATTATTAAGTTTTCTTGTCCTTTATGTTCTCCCTGAAAGAATGCGATTTGTACCCGTGCTCTAATATGCGTTATTATCATAATTACTATCTTTATTATATTGTAACATCAAAAGAGCATAAAAAATGAGAAAATAAAATATGTTATATCAATTAATAATTTTTAACAAGAAATTGATTCAATCACTCATCCAAAATGAGCATCCAACGCCACCTACATCCAATACTTAGAACTTGAGCAAAACAAGTTTTATCCTGTTCGAATCGAGGAGAGGAGGGAGAGCGAATACTCACTGCTAACGACCGAGCAGACACCATCTCTTTTTTTAAATATTAAATTGAGATATTAAATTAAATTAAATTTATTACTCGTAAGCACACTTCCTCGCCTGCACCCTTGGAGTTAAGCAGCTGATTGTCGGAGTCAACGAGATGGACTTGACCGAACCCCCATACTCTGAAGCCCGTTTCGAGGAAATTAGGAAGGCAGTCAGCAGCTATATCAAGAAAATAGGATACAATCCAGTTGCCCTGCCCTTCGTCCCCATTTCTGGATGGAACGGAGACAACATGTTGGAAGTTTCCGATAACATTGGATGGTTCATGGGATGGAAGGTTGAGCGTAAGGATGGAAACGCTGACGGCAAGTGCTTGATTGAAGCTCTCGACGCCATCCTTTCCCCAGCGAGGTAAATTTGTATATGGTTTTTTTGCATAATACTTATGTATTTAAATATGCATTAATAATATAAATTTTATATGTATTTAATAATTTAATGATTTATTTAATCAACAGACCCACCGATAAGCCTCTTCGTCTTCCTCTCCAGGACGTCTACAAAATTGGTGATATCGGAACAGTGCCCGTGGGTCGAGTCGACACTGGAGTCATCAAACCAGGCCCCATGGGTCTGACCACTGAAGTCAAGTCGGTGGAAATGCACCACGAAGCTCTGGTGGAAGCAACTCTCGAAGACAACGCTGGTTTCAACATCAAGAACGTCAATGAAATCCGAAGAGGATACGTCGCTGAAGACTCCAAGAACAACCCACCCAAGGGAACCGCCGGCTTCTCTGCCCAGGTCATCGTGTTGAACCACTCTCGACAAGAAATCTCTAACGGATACTGTCCCGTTTTGAACTGTCACATCGCTCATATTGCCTGCAAATTCAAAAAAATCAAAGAAAAAGTGGATCGTCGTACTAGAAAGTCCGTTGAAGATAATCCCAAAGTGAGTTATTGATTTATTTTTATTGTAAATAGTTATGCAACTTGTTTGATCCTCCAATTCTAAATCAAATCGCATAGCTTCATGTGGTGATGGTATATATATATATATATATAAGAGATTTCTAATTAATTTTTAAATTAAAATCAATATCTTAATTTTCTTTATAGGCCATCAAGTCTGGTGACCCTGCCATTGTGACCCTCGTCCCCACCAAGCCCAAGTACATTGATGTCAGCTGCTGCCGAGGCGGTATGCAGATCTTCGTCAAGACATTGACTGGCAAGACCATCACCCAAGAAGTGGAGCCCTCTGACACCATCGAGAATGTCAAGGCAAAAATCCAACACAGGGAGGGAATCCCCCCAGACCAGCAGATGCTTATATTTGCCGGTAAGCAGCTCGAGGATGGGCGAACGTTAACCGAATACAACATCCAAAGGGAGTCAACCCTCAATCTCGTCCTGCGACTAAAGGGTGGGATCGGGTAAGTTTATATTGTCATTATAAGGAATTTGGAAAACCATTTTATTATCGCAGAAATCGAAAAGTCGATCACCAAGGAGGGAATGGTTGTGATGATGATGAGATGAAATTTGTGTAAGCAACAAAGTCGTTGCTTTTAGTCAGAATGGCCAATGTTTAGAAGTTGAAGACAAAAAATTATGTGACAGTTTCTGGATTTCGTATCAGTTTTTTGATAGCTTTGACAGAATAGAATTGATAGAATTTTTATGGGTAAATACGTATTTAGTATTAAATATCCACTTTATTTATCTTATCTATTTATGTAACTAATTTTAATCACGGCCGGTTAAAACCTTTATTATTATTATACTTTTTCCAGGATCCTGGCTTTTAATTTGTTTTCCTAAAGTTTTCTTATTTTAATGTTACAGAGTATTCATGTGTTGTTACTGCAAGAACACGTTCAGAGACAACTGGAATCTTCAAAGACATCTCACGAATCGAACGAGGAAGGGGAATGTCTGTCCGAAGAAAAGGTAAAACCAATAGTTTAATATATTCATTAACTAAATATTTGTATCTGTTAAATTTAATTCATTCCTACTCATTTTTAGTAAAAATGAACTAGACCAGGCGACTGGAAGGCCTACCTACCCCTGCCGAAAAATTGATTGCGCTGAGATTTTCTACACCGTCAAAAAACAGGCAGAACATCACGCAACCCATTACGCGAGATCAGCTAGGTAGTTTTATTTACTTTCCTATCCAGGCCCTGGCAGCACCTAAAACATTGTTGTTTCTCGTTCATGCTCATTCATGTTTCTAGCCCGAGTCAGGGCTTGTGCCACCGTGTATGTCCGTTTATCCGTGTGTCTGTCAGTCTTCACGACAATTCTCTTCAGACTTATCCGATCGACTTGAAATTTGGCATACATGTGTACAAGGCAGGGTTCGAAAAAACCCAGGGTTTTATTCAAAAATTTACAACCCACGGGTTTTAATGGGTTTTTTGGGTTTTATTAAGAATTTCAACAAAACACATTTTGCAGCTATTCCAAATTTAAATGTAAGCATATCTAATTCCTCATTCAGCATATACAAAGTTGTTTTGATTTTAAAAAATAATTTTTTAAATATCAACTCTGGTGATGCTTAACGTTCATCATGGATTGTCATCAGATTTTCATGAAAATAATTATAATGAAAAAGCTTCATATTCGCAGTCAAACCCAATAAAACCCTGGGTCGGAATACCCTGGTACAAGGTAAGAAGTAAGGACGAGTTCGAAGATGAGCAAAATCGGTCCAGTGTTTGATCGAATGGCCTCGATTAAAATACACCATTTTCAAAATTACGATAGGAATTTATTGTATATTGGCTCAATTAGTGCTATAAACTCGATATATGTAGTCAAATATGAAAAATTTTCATATTTTTCAAATTTTCATATCAAGTGGCGGTTAACCGATGGGGGTCTCGATTAAAATGCATCATTTGGTGCAGAATTATAGGCCCAAATATTTTGTACCAAAATTGATGCAGAATATCCAAGCCAAATATTTTGCACAAAATTTAAATACTGGAGGTCTATATTTAGTGATGAAGCCACAGCCCTGTCCTGCTGGAAATGAGAAGTTTGTGAGGAATACTTTTCAGCAAAGAAAGTATTGGATGATCATTTGAATTCCCATGCGGATCAGTTATTTGTTGCAAGACAAAAAAAGACAAACAGGTGTGACAATTATTAATTCATGTTGTAATAATGTCATGAACCCATGACCTGGTGATTGTTTAACATCGATTTTTGTTTATAGACCATTCACCCTTCGGAACGGAGTAAAGATCTACGTATGTGAAGTAGATAATTGTGGAGTCGAGTTTTTGAAATCTTGGGATTTAGGGACACATGAATTCAGGTTTCACACTGACGTTCCCCTGTACACCAAATTAACGTAGGTTTCCTTATTTTGCGCATGCAGATACAATTTATTGCAAATAAATGACTTATTGTGTTTTAAATATAGGAAACGTCATTTGAAATATAAAAGTCCACTACTACAACGTCACGGATTCACTCCCAGAGCCCTACCAGCCAGGCTCCTTGATGACCCCGCCTTGAGTCAAGAATTAGAGTGGATATATCAGTGGGTCAAGGGACACATGGACTACAACATTCATTGCATCAACCATCGTTCTTTCGGGGTGTACTTTGGGGCCGCTTTGGGCCGAAAATATAAGAAGGGTGACGATATCGCGGAGTTTATCCGTGACAATCCTGATCAATTTTACCCATACATTGGACGGGATGCTTCCTCATCCGTTAACATCCATAATCACCATCAGGATGGCTCATCCCCCCTTGGAGAGGCTGCGGAACAGGGGCTGACCATTGTATGTCTCCACCGCGAACCATTCTCAGGAAAATGGGAGGACAAGAGCCAAGAGATGCGAATGTTTGAGGCTTGTGCAATAGTAAGTAGTGACTCCATACTATATGGTTAATTTTAAACTAAATTATTGCTATAAATTCTTACACCTGTATAGGAAGTAGCACTTACGGACGCCGAGTTAGAGCCATTGCCTGGAATCCCTCAATACCAGTTTTTGAATAAACGACGAGAGCGTTTGGAGATTGCCCACAGGAGCGACAATAAACTCCTCAAACTTTTTGAGAAAGGGTTGAAAGGCTTCCGCTGGCTGTGTTTCAATAAGGAGTGTGAGGGTCAAGATTGCGATGCCTTTATCCACCCTGATTGGAGCCAAGACCTGTTGGTGGACATGTCAAAACGACTAAACAATTGTTCTGAGGAGGATGTCAACATGGAGATGGATCTCCCAGGACCTGCCTCTTCGTTAAAGAAGTCTCGTCCTACAAATGAAGGTTCCCTCACGATGGAAGTTAAACGTCGAGTTGACCAATTCCGTGCGGAAGTGGAAATGTGCGACCCCACCCATACCGTCTACACCATCATCACCACGGATGACAAATCTTTTTCCCCGAACCAAAGTGCAACAACAACTTGCAACCAGATAGTGCAACGAAAAGAAGAAGATTTGGTGGTGGGTGCTTACACCGGCGTCAATAGAAGAGAAGAGGTAGCAGAATATCACGACAAAAAAACTAGTAGTGTTTGGAAATCAGTTCAAACCGGACGAACTGCCCTCCAGATTGCAACAAATAACTTTCCCACCAGGATCCTGGCACGTAAAGAGGAAGCGTTGCGACTGGTACAAAATGATTTCCCAATTCAATATAATTATTAATTTTTTCTCACAAATATTTGTTTATTTACAGCTGCACTCTTTCCTCCATATGAGATTCTCGACTCGCGGTGTGAAATTCGATGTGCTGAATGAGAGGATGGAATGGCAATTTCTCTCATTATGCTCAGAAGAGGAGATCAAATTGGCTATTCGCCTCGCATGGACCGGGATCCCACCCGTGACCTTTGGCCCGTTACCCCCAGTCGACAAGTTCTCTCACGGATTGTATCCTGTCGACCTCAGCCAAAAGATCATGACAGGACAAATCAAGAAGATGTGATATTTTATTAACCTTAACTTTATGAAATCAATATTGTAGTATTGTAGTATATTTGTTGTTATGTAACGATTCATGAAGCCTTCCAGTGCAACTGTTTTCATCTAATTAATCCAAATGTAGCATCGGAAAAACTTTTTCATTTCTTAACTGATTTTGATCGTGGATAGTTTAAAATTTAGAGAATGATATGGTCCAACTTGTTTTTAATCTGAACTCAACTACAAGCATACCTGTTCACAATCAGTTATTAAGTGCGAAATGAACAATGAATAAATGAATAATTCAAAAAATGAATGAAGAATGATTGAATTTTTAGCCCGAGTCAGGGCTTTTGTAACCGTCATGTCCGTCCGTCTGTCTGCCCGTCTGTCTATCGATAACTCTCTTTAAACTTATCCGATCGGGTTGAAATTTTCAGCATATGCATATTGGGCAAAGTTAGGAATCAAGTTCGAAGATGGGCCAAATCGGTCAAGTGGTTGACCGGTGGGGGTCAGGTAGTTAACATAAAATTGAGAGGGATGGAGAAAACTTGGCCGAATTGGATGTGTGTGGCCCACGTTCACGCGATTAAATCTTTATAATTAGGCCCCATTTTGTTTTATTTATTATCTGCACTGGCAAGGAAATGGATTTCAGTCTAAATAAAAGTTTACTCAACAGAGATAAAATATCCAGACTTGCGTTAGTCAATGATAGTCGAATAAAAAAATAGTGATTTTAGGTGCATACTTTTTTAGGTCGCTTACATCTATCGTGCAAAACAATTCAACGAATAAATAATTACAATACGTACACATTTACCTTCTTCATATAAATACGATCTGACGTATTTAATGCATTTTCGGCGTAATTGACTTTCCGTATTACTCTCGCTTGTAAATATACTGCGTGTAATATGGTCAGTGTTGAGGTGGTTATTGGAGCGATTCTCACAACACCATCATCAAGTAGCTGTTGGGAGTTGTGTGAGAGATGGCAACTTTTATTCGTTCGCCCTCCGTAGTTGCTATTTCATTTCTACAACCTTGTCAGCAATTTCCAGAGGAAAAGTGAAAGTTTACGCCCTTCATGTGACAGCAAAGCCTTAAGTTATAACCCCATCTATGCCGACTTATACTATGTACCTATAACATTATTCACATTACATTAAATTTTCTGGGGTAATGCCCGTGTCCTGGTTCTCTCACTTTTTTCGTGTGTGTGTGGCAGCACCGAGAACCAGCTTCTCTACCAATCCGAAAGCGTAATGCATGAATTGTATAAAAAAGTAAGTCTCATCATGAATTTTTCTTTTATGCTTTCACAAAGCATCGTATTGTCGCGGGTGTCAGTTGAACACGACGTTTTTAAACCGTATTTCATTGCCACACACACACTCACGTCCCTGCAGCCTACACGATTGCACCGAGCCTAAGGTTAATGTGCCAGCCTAGTATACTACACAGAATCATGTGACAACATGGTGGAATCTAATAAGCACTATCTTATCCACGGTCTTGGATTTATTTAAAGAAATTCTCAGAATCTTGCACACACGTTGTATGCGAGGTATTGTAGTCACTGGCCGACTGTTTCTGGCGTAACACTTCCGTTATTATTTTCACTTTTTGTGAAGGAATAAGGTGAAACAGGCTGAAACTCCACGAAAAGAAACACAAAAGGAAGACTCTCGAAATGGATAAAGTTGCTGCCTGCTTGGGCTACGAAGCTGGCGTCTATTTGAAAAGTATTTCAATCCAGAAGACTTGGTGAGGATAAAACACAAAAGTAGAGTCAGTACCCACGAGGTCATCTGTCATACACTGTGAAACTGTAACCTTTCTTTATTGCCATTCTTCCCCTTCCCTCCCCTGCTGTACAATGCCAGAAATAATGACACATTCAAGTGAAACTACTTGCCAGGTCTGATTATAACATCGTAGCTGTTCCTGCTTTCTGGTTATATTACATAAAAAGTCATAGCTCAGAATAATACTACAAGTCATTGAGAAAAGCCAGCTGAATTTGTTGAGGAATTTTCTAGCAATCCAATAATATAAGTATTTGTTCACAACTACGTAAGTATGATAGCTAATCTACTCGTCCTGAGATTCAACTCTGTTTGCTACAAATCAATACTGAAAGACCTTATTCACTTCATTCCATGTTTCACTTTCTCCAGTGAAAGTGTGATATCATTATTGGTGGGATCGACAGTAAACCATATTTTCCCAACTTTGCACTCAATTCAATCCAGCCAACCGTATGTCCGGTTTCCACAATGTTTAATCTCTTTTCAAATTTATCGTTATAGTTATGTCACATTGTCGTCGTCTTTTGGAAGTATGTACATGGAGCGGGATTTGAGAATTCTTTATTGTAATAATAATGATGGAGTTTCTTACAATGCCGATTCACTCGAACTCAAGCCCAGCCATTTGAATGGGCGGAACCTGGAGCTATTTTGAATCGAAAAGTAAAAATCCGAAATGGAGCCTAGACTTTATGGCAAACAAGGCGGACTATGTACATGGATTTCAGACATAGGAGATTGTCCCCTTGGCCAATAAGCAGATGTACAAATTGATATCTATGTAATAAGTGTATGAAGTGATGAATTGAATTGACAAAGTTGTATTCGTTCATGAAATATATATCGTCGGCGCCACCACCAAACGATGTACAAGTTTGGAGCTCGTTGTCGTCCTCGTCCCACTTACTTATTTCTGCCTGAATAGAGACCATGTTCCTATTCTTCCTTCGTTGTCCATTACGGCCATTGATGATATGAAATGAGTAGTTCTGTGAGTGAGTGGGGAGATAATACGTCAGAATGTACATAAACGTAAGTGCTGCAACATTCCGTATTAGAGTTAACATGAAATAGGCAATCTTTCCTTTCAAGAAATTTTATTGGATTGCCTTTTCCTCTTGAGCAATATAGTCTTTATTTGACAAATGACAATGGCCAATAACTGCGTTTGTACTATTATTGGCTCCGACTAATAATATCATCGCCCATCGGTATATAATATTCCAGAGTAGATGAATGAATCGGCGAGTCGTCTCTCTGAATATCTTTCTTCAGTTTGCTGTTCTGGTTGGCCCGTGAAACTTGGAAAGCGGATATTCCCAATTCACGTCGTATAAAATGTTCTCTTACCCTTAGATCCAAGTACATCTGTCTACAACAACTTTCGATGCCTTTATGAATTCCATTCGCAGATAATAAAACCTACTTTCACTTTTAAACTGTCCAAGTTAAACTTTGGCCGTACAATTTCGTGTAAAGTTTGCCCGGATAAAGAGAAAGTCTCCAATTCATTTTATTTTCTTATGCAATTCATGATTTTGTGAAAGTAATCAAATTAAAATTATTGGAGTAGAGAACGCGGAGGAGGGAAGGCTGACAAAACCTGGCGGCCTGGAACAATGTGGACACTACATGCTATGACTGTTGCAAATTATCCACCAGTCATTGTCAATGGACGCATTGTCGATTTCATCCCATCATGTAATATTAGATTCTCTCTTCCTGGGTTAAGAGTAGTTTGAGAACAACCTGAGTCGAAAGGATTTTATGGAGATAACGTTATCTTCTCCCTCTCTCGTCTTCTTCTATCTGGAGAATAAATCTTGGCCAATACCATAAAATAAAATAGAATAAAATAAAATTTGGTGAAAGCTTTTCTCCACTTTGAAACAGCAGCACGGAATTTATCTGTGGTTAAGTTGAGATTGCCGAAACTTTGAGCCAAGTCAAGAAATCAAAGAAAACCAATAAAAACAAGGATTTACTTTTTCATAAATAAAATTTGAAATTCGCCATAAACTTTGCCCTGAGTCGCATGGGGATTTGATTTGATTAGAGAGCCTTTAGATTTACGGAGTGAGGTCTTAAATTTACTTCTGCCCTCCTCCCTTGTCGACGTCGAGGTTCTATCCTTCTTGTTCTTCTCCACTTTATTTAGTTCTCCTCCTAATGCTTGTACCTACGTACCTTCAGCATGCCCCCTGTTGCTTGTTTCTACACGTTCTTCATGTGTGTATATTTTATTGTGCTTGTGTTGTGTGAGGCGAATTTTCCAAATCAATTTCAAATAAATGGAGTCCTAAGATTCCATATTTACTGCCAATGTTACGATTATATTGACAGTTAGTTCTATATAATTCATCACAGGAAGCCATACGTACATAGAATTATTCTGTAATTGGAAGGTATGTGAGACTAAGCAAATGTGTAACGTAATACATAACGAGAAATTCAAGAGTACAGTAAAATAGGGGTCAAGCCATACATATGTACATCTGAAAATCAATTGAATTACGTAAAGCTAACTAAAGGCTTCAAGGGAAAGTTGAAACTGTTTATGTGACAAAAGCCTACAATCATTGGTGCTAAATATGCAATTATCTTAAAACAATAATAGCACAGCTATGGATATAAGCGAATTTTGACAACGGTTTAGTAACAATCAAACTTTGCACATCAGCAAAAGCCACATTTATTTGCAAAAGTTCCACTCAAACAACAAGTACAAAGTGTGGTGGGGTTGGCGATCCTTTGAGCTTCTTGCCTTTGACTTGACTCTTTCTTCAGTCTGGTCCCATTATCAGCGCAGGAAGCGTAGGGCGATCTCCAACTTTTCAAAGTTTAGAAACGACGATAATAATCATAATAAGAATGATTATTACAGCACTAAAGATGCAAGCAAACGGAGACGGGCTGAAAGGGTGGCGGAAGTATGCTGGATAAAATTATAGGAGGACCGAGAAAGTTATTATTATTATCGACCTTCCCACGATGCAACCTTGCCTCACTCTTCTGACAACAAACTTAAACTCACACTCAACACCATAACTATAGTTTGTTATTAGTTGTAGTAGTGGTTGTAATACTCGTAGTGAGTGGAAGTAGTAGTAGTAATATTCTCTGTGTCATGTCCCTTTCCGTCACTCGTTCATAGAAGGGCACTCCCACATTTACATTTGACTTGACGTCGAGGAGGGAGCATTATTGCATTGACGCTCAAAGCCTACATACTTACATACACTTCTGTACTCATCTTCTCGGTGCGTCTCCTTTCAACGAGGTTTCACCAGCCAGCCTTGAGCCACCCATGCATGGAGTTCCACTGGAGAAAGGAGTCAAGAAGGATGATGATAAGACTCCCACTTGCTGTCTCATCATTCTCTGTCACCAGCTAAAGGAACCAGCCTTTCGTCAGTCTCTCTTCCACCAAGAGCTTCCAATTTTTAAATATTAATT